AGCGACGTAGACATGTGGGGGCGTGTTAGAATGAGCCATTTTAGGTAGGCGTGGTTAACTCTTAACTTTTATAAAGAATATCTCTTTGGTTTTGAGACTTTAGTCTTTGCAACTTTACAGATCTTCTTTATGCACCAAGAGCTTGTAACACTTCAAAGAGAAAGGAAAAATTGAAATTGCATCATATGACCCCTTTAATGGAAAGTCTGTAACATAGTTTGGTTAAAATTTCTCAATGGCTCAATGGTAAACTAATTTTTCCCTGTCAAAAACAAGCTCTTTTCACAGTACGCAGTTCTGTAGCATTTTCCTTTAAATGTTTAAATGTTCTGCTGACCCCGCCCCTCTCTTCCGAGCCGCTCTCAGAAAGACTGTTTACTTTAGCTGCATTCATCGTGAAACTTGCTAATTAGCACATTGTACACAATAACATACCAAATATTTAATTGTAGTAAAATATGTTTTTAGGGCTCAAGTAGTGAGCATTTGAATTTTTAACCAAACATTTACAATACTCATCCATGTACCTCATCTTATATAATTATGTCACTGTTGGCATGATGATCTCAATGTGACCTTTTCCTGATGTGGATGGAAATTCTCACATTTTATATTCAGAGGGTGCTATATGTTTATCACAGATTTAATTTACATTTACATTTATCCATCTAGACTCTTTTATAAAAGGTGACACATAAAACAGAGCTACATACACAGTTTGTCACGGAGACGACAACATAGCAATGCACAACGCCGGGTTTATTGTAAGAGGTGAAATGCAAAGAAAAGAAGAAAGAACCACTTAAATTAAAAGAAACAAAATCCCTCACTTAATTATAAGCAATGCACTGCAAAACATTCTTTAACAAATAAAATCAGGTCAGCTCATGTCTCCAAAAAGACATGAGGGGTGGGGATTTAAATAAGCTTTGCATTTGAGGAACCGGTTTAACCAGCACTGAATAAACAGTTCAAGGTCAAAAGCCATGAAAAGATTCACGAGGAATCACAGCATTATATCTGGCAGTCTGTTTTGATCCTTAAAGGGAAGGTAAGGTAATCTTATATCTTATATGAAGGCCTGAAAGAATTGAAGTCTAAGATAAAAAAAAAATAAAAATTTAATTAAAAAAAAAATATATATATATACAGTATGCATACCAATATGAGTTGGGTAAAGACAAAAAGCCACACCTAATGTGTAGGAACATGTTGCGAGAAGTTGCTTGCAGTGAAATCTGAAAGTGAAAGTGTTTTGACGTTCGTGAGCATGTTAAAATAAAAGCTGATGTTGTTCTCTTCTGACTTGTTTTCATTTTCAATTCAGTCAAAATGAATGATCTGAATGCCCGAAGGGATCAAATGAATATTAGAGCAGCTGGAAATGGTGGAGATGATAAATGTAACTGGAACTGGCCTCTGCTGATTTCACTGTCTGGCTTAGCATTGTACCGTAAGCATTGCATTTTGTGGTTATTTCTGGCACAAAAACATTGGCTCAAATCTTCTAGAACGCAAGTCATTTCAACTTTTCTTTATATGTAAAGAAAGTCTATCAGCTTTCTGCATATTCTTTGCTTCTTTACAGAATGGTTCACGCACAGGAGAATAAGAAATGAAATGGATTGCTTGAGGAGAAGCATTGAGAAAGATAGAAGGGAGGACAAAGCAATGGTTGTGATTCACGAGATCCGCAGGTTGTTACATGCTAGACAAGACATCATTTGTAGCAATACTGTCCCATATTTTGCTCAGCGGACCAGGGAGCAAGAGTTATCCAGCATGGCCTCCAGTGACCCTATAGCACATCAACTCAATATAAAAGCTGATCTCCTCAAGATCTTCCAGCATCCTGAACCCTGCTCAAGAGCCACAATAAACACATGTGTTGAAGACTGGCAGAGAAAACTTAAGGGTTTACTTGAAAATGAGCAAAAATAGATTGCCACACAGTTTTATAATAATTTAGGGGAAAAAAATCTGGATTAGTTTGACCCAGTGTTACACTGGACTTATGTTATGTTGTATTTTAATGTCAGTTGTATGTGAACGTGTGAATGTTCAGTGATACTCAGAAATAAATAAAATTCTGTCAGGATTTAATGTGTTATGAAACTGAGCTGAACCAAGCAATCTGCATTAACAGCATATGTAATTATAGTCAAGTGGCTTGACTGTGTTATGCAGTTTGTAAAAAATAAAGAATGCCTGTCTGTTCAAAATTGCCTACTAATGTAGCCTTCACTGCTATAGTTTAGTATAATTCCCTTGCGCAAATCTACAATTAATGCCATTCAGGATTAATTTGTTAATTGAATTCATTTATTGAATGATTTATTTTTGACAAGCCTGTTTTCCCAGACCTCATCAAATAAAGAAAACCTCACCTGTAAAGACACACTGACAAAGCAGAAGTATCAGATTTAAACTGGTTTAATGGTGTTAAAAATTATTGTAATTCACTTCTCTGCAGAAGATTAAGAGATGTCAGTATATTAAAAATATAATGAATTTACAAGGCAGGAATTAAATCAAATCATTTTTAATATGACTGAATTGTATTTAAGTTGATCACAATTTAATAAAAATATGGTAAGTTACTAATTATAATGCTTTCCACCATGGTTATTAAACAGTGGATATATTATATACAGAAAGAACCTTACATTATCAAAGAACATTATTACTGACTTCAGCGCGAGTTTAAGCACTCAAAAACTCCTGTTAGAATCACTACTGAAGCTGTCAACATTGTGAAAGGAATCAGTTGGGAGTCACATTTGTACTAAACAATAATAACATAATAATTGTATTGTTATGAATAATGTTCTATATTGCATTACAGTATTTTGTTTTCTCTAATGTATTTTATTTTGGGAGGATTAGGCTTAGGCTATATAAGAACACCCATTGTGATAAAATGTGTAGTTTGAATGCACCATAAAAGTGTCTGACAGATGCACAAATATGCCTATTTGCAGCATTTTGGATAATGTGCACTGTAAGAAATAAATGTTTCTTGTTCGTATTTAAGTATTTGACATGGTACAACATGATGTTTAGGCATAAAAGATCTTCACTGATATCAGACATTTCTCTCAGCTCATGTGTTCGTCAGAGAACATATAAATTAGCTTTCAAAAGAATTGCAGAAAAGTGTTGAATCAAAGAACCACTGTTTATTTAAGAATAAAATAGCAAAAATACGAATAAAGAAAAAGAATATTATTTGGAGTATTTGCTCTACTCCAAATAAGTCCACTCTACAGATCATCAGATACATCATTCACCCCCCATTTAACTTTTGATTGAGTTTCAGACCGCAATAGTTTGTGATTGTTGTTCTCAGAGACCTTTAATGAATTCTTTAATAGAGTTCAAATGAACAAAGGTTTTCATCAGAGGTTTTTTTTCTTTTCTTTGGTGCATCTAATGAAACTGAATCTGTGCAGAGCTCAGACAAAATGATCAATGAGTCCCGTGTGTCTATTTCTGATGCCACTCATCTTCTCAAAGATGACCAAACACAGAGATCAACCACAGGATAAATCCAACTGATTTCTCATGAGCTGTTTTTTCAGCCATGCAGGCTAGAGGAGGTGTACTGACATAAGCGTAAACCATCATAAGATTTCTTTAATCTTTAATTCACAGACAGGCAAATATCACACTAGGGGTGGGCGCTATGACCAAAATTCTGTTTCACAGTATGTTCAGTGCTGAGTTATACAGTCAAATCCTCTCATTATAACATACAGAGTGTATACACAATGTACATAATAGATTGATTGCGCAGTGTAGAGAGATTCATTGGTCAGAACAGAACTTGAACTCGAACAGAACAGAACAGAACTCGCTCTTTGCGAGCTTATAATCCATTCGAAATGCAGAACTTTTGTTTTTCAGCTACATGCACGTTGCAAAGTTTCGGGAATGACATCCGCATATTCATGCAGGATTCACTCTCGACATAGCAGTGATTGACATAGTGATAACTATAGCAATGGGACAAAATATGTGAAAATGTGCATTAAGACTAGAGCACCCTCACTAATTTCAGAAGCGCCCTCAGTGATTTATTTCTGGAACTGGAAATATAGTTATTGTATAACTATACAAAAACAACAAAATACAAATGCACCAAATAAAATAATCTAATAAATGCATATTTACAATAAGCAGTTAACTCAAATAAGTATTAAATAATCAAATAAATAACTGACTATAATCAGCTTGCTTCCAGTTTAATGGATGGGATGATGAGTTCTCTGTAGCCTATGGGGCAGCCAGTGGGTCCTTCTCCTCTGCTCCATGTCTCCTGTAGGACCATGATGTCTGAATTGTTGAAGTCTGGCTTTCTGCTTTTGAGGCCAAAGGTAGATGATCTCAGACCTTGAAAAAATAAATAACTGACTATAATCAGCTTGCTTCCAGTTTAATGGATGGGATGATGAGTTCTCTGTAGCCTATGGGGCAGCCAGTGGGTCCTTCTCCTCTGCTCCATGTCTCCTGTAGGACCTGATGTCTGAATTGTTGAAGTCTGGCTTTCTGCTTTTGAGGCCAAAGGTAGATGATCTCAGACCTTGAATATTCCAACATGATAGGCTATAATAAATGCTTTGTTGTCCATGGGGTCTTAGTGTTGGTGATAAGTATTGTCCCATGACTGCAGGTGTGAGCAGATTAGGTTAAATGATAATTTTATTTGGGGAAGAAAAACATCCCACATCCTGTCCAATGTTGTCCTCTAAACAAATGTGCAAATTAAAGTCTACGAAAACAAGCATAGATTCCCTATATAGATGGGGGAAGTCGTGGCCTAATGGTTTGAGAGGAGAACTCGTAACCCAAAGTTTGCAGGTTCGAGTCTCGTAGGTGGGGGGAGTGACTGTACAGCGCTCTCTCCCACCTTCAATAACACGACTGAGGTGCCCTTGAGCAAGGCACTGAACCCCCAAATGCTCCCCAGGCGCCGCAGCAAGAAAATGGTTGCCCACTGCTCCGGGTGTGTGTTCACAGTGTGTGTGTTCAGGGCACTAATTCCAAGTATGGGTCACCATACTTGGCAACATGTCACTTTCATATGGCCATTTTTTAAAAGCCTAAAAACAGCTTAAATAATAAAGAAGAATAAAGAAAAAAAGGGTAGGAATAAAGAGGGTAGGGATATAAAAAATATATATTTTATATAAAAAAAAGAATAAAGAAGAATAAAGAAAAAAAGGGTAGGAATGCACTCACTCCTCTAAATACAGTAACATGTTACTGTAATTTTTAAAAATCTTTTACATGAAACTTGATTCTCGATATTTTTGGGGGATAAACGGATATGATAGATTTAAAGGGAAACGCGAGTCGGTTCAACTGAATCATTACAAAGAGCCGGTTCAAATGAGCGATTCGTTCAGGACATCAGAATCGGGATTCGGATCTTGTTCTCAGTCGGAGCCGATCCGAGCTGACAGTCTGCAGGTGCGGGTGATGATGATGGTGTGAGGATCCGCCGGTCGAACCGATTCACCGGACAGACTTGTGAATACTAGGTAATAAACAGACTGTCATCTTGACATAATATGACGGAGTTTCATCGCAGATCCTCAGCCGGTACCGGAGGCTCTCCGCCCGGGATCAGCCGCTCCAGCGCCGCGGGTGGAGGTGGAGGAAAAGGCGGATTATCTCAGCCGGCTGGATGGCGGTGTCTGCTGTCCTTCACCATCCTTTCCCTGGCGTGTGTGTGTGGATTCATCTCCAGGCTGTTCGCGGTGATCCGCTTCGAGAGCCTCATTCATGAGTTTGATCCGTGGTGAGGATCTTGACTTCATCGCTTCATTTCTTTGAAACGCACTAAAACTCTTGATAACTATGAAAGTCACAGATTGTGAGCTGACTAACTGGACAGCTGATGTTTCAGAGCAGACAAACAGCTGGTTTAGTTTTAGTTCAGCAGCTTTCTGTTCTGTGTTCAAGCTAAAGACAGCAGTGGCTGTCTCTCAACATCTAGTGTGCTGCTTATCTAGAGTCTAGACTTACAATCTGAGTGATCTGTCTTCCAGAATAGCCTGTTTTTGGTCTTGTGATCTCTGATTATGTGACATCAGTTTTTCTGAGCTGACCTGCAACACACACTGATGCCCAAAATTGCTGTTTTCTGCAGGTGTACCTGAGTGTGTTTGAAGCACAGGGTGTTCCGGATGTTTTAAGACGCTTTTCTCAACACTGAAAATGTCAGTTATTGATATCACATAATTTGTAAGGGATTTATTTTATTTTATGTTTTTATTTATATATATATATATATTGTTTTTTGTACATTAGATGTAATAGTCTGTAATCTTAGCAGGTCAATTACTTGTGTAGATGTTGACATGGTGGGTGTGGAAGGCCATGGAAAAATATATATATTCATGTTTTTATTTTTTATTTAACAATTGCAAGATATAAACTCACAATTGCGGAAAAAAGTCAGAGCTGTTTGATAGAAAGTTGCAATTCGCTTTTTTATAGACCTATATATTGTTAATTGAATTGTGAGATGTAAACAGAATTCTAAGGAAAAAAGTAAATATTGCAAGATGTAAACTCATAATTCTGAGCAAAAAAGTCAAGATTTTGAGATGTAAACTCAAAATAATCTCCCATGGTTTGGTGATCAGGTTCATGTCAGATTCAGGATGGAGAGATTTGATTCATTTTCATCTTATCTTTCTGTTCATCATACATGCACACTGTAATCCACTTTGCTGAAAAATACAGTAAATCATTTTTGCAAGCCACTTTTTCAGCAGTTTTCACATGGAATTTTAACCAATGTTAATTAAGAAACTTAGCTGGCAATAACCAAATGTGTGTGTTTTGCTTAAAATACTGAGACATGCCAACTGATAAATGTAATTTTTTTTATGCTGCAGCATTACAGATACCAGACAGCTGCTCATACCTGTTTATGTGTGCAGAGGATTTACATGTACATTTTTTCATTTTTTCATTTTTTAAATTCAGTCTGATTGAGCTCATATTCATTTCCAGATGTTCTTAATAGATTCTGTAATGAGATGAAGTGAAGTGGAACAGATTGTCTGCTGTTATTGTCTGAACTAATTGAAGATGTTTGGTGACTCAGAGCCGAAAAGTTATTACACTTCGATCAAAGAAAGCATTGAATCATTTGCAATAAGACCAGGAACATGTATTAAGAACGTAAGTCTGATATCATGTTGACTTTAAGGCCGGAGCATCTTATCTTTCTCAAAATGGATCATAATTACTGCATTTATCTCACATCTAATGATCTTGACTGACTGAGAGGAAAATCAATTCTGGTCAGATTCTGGTGTTTGCGTTCACACATGAGTAGAGGAGACAGAACGAGACGTAGACAGATGGAGAAAGCGCTCTGGCTCGATCTTGCGGTTTGTTTGCCAAACATCCAGCTCCTCCTGCTGCTCGGCGAGACACAGATAGTTAACCAGTATTGATTAAGTAGCTGTTAGAAACACCAGTGCAGTCTGTTCTGCCTGATAACACACAAATATGGATTTTCTCCATCATTTAATCCAGTGAGTGGTTGGATTCAATTCAAACAGTAGATTAATAAAGTAAATCAGGTCAGAATGTAAAAGACCTGCTTATAAGATGCATTTTTGCTTATAATTGCTGAAGTATTTATTGCATGTTTCTCCTCAGTAATAGAATAAGCTTCAAAGCACTGCTGCAGTTTCACTTATTTTGGGTGCATTTCATGAATGAGGTTTCATCATGGAGCAGGTGCGTTTAACCCATGCACAAAAGATGAATTATGTCTTGTCACAGTCATCATAGAAACATCTAACCGTTACGATCCCAGCGGCTCTTTTATGACACACTTAATGCTGAAACAGGTTTATTGTGAGGTTATAGATTATAGACAGGTAATGGCAGTACAGACTGTAGTCTAAAACTCTTCTTTCTGATCTGTGCGATCTTGCAATATGCATCTTGGGACTTGGGTCGTGATTGACAGCACACCTGGAGTATGTCTGTTTGTTGTTTTGGCTCCTTCAGAACGGCACACTCTGTCCTTGCATTATCCAGTGCATATTATTTGATGAAAATATAAATATTTATTAGATTACTTTTCATGAGTGCTTCATGAATTTGTTGTATTATTCAGCAATTTTTAGGATCTGAGCAGTACACGGCTTGTTTCACGTCTGAAAAAAATATATGCACACACATTTTAATTTAAAAACAAAATCTCATTTTTTTTAACTTTTTTATATAATTTACCTTTCTCTTTTCACAAAAATATATTTTTTTGTGCATGGTATACAAAAAAAATACAGCACTGAATATAAAAAAATAACGTTGCAAATTAATTACCTTTCAGAAACAGACTTGTTTACTGCCCTCTTTCACATCAACACTCCTCTTTCAACATCACAATTTGAATTTAAATTGGAGTTTGAGTTTGACTTTGGAATTCCGGATCTGGAATTCAAACTCTAACTCCCGAGTTTAAATTCCAGATCCAGAATTCCAAAGTTCCAGCAGAAGTCAATCTCTCAGAAATCATCTGCTGCTTTGTTGTATTGTGAGCAGCTTCCTCTGAGGGTTTGGAGAATTTAAACTCACACTGAGGGTAAAACCCAAGTGTTTGTTCGTCTGTGAGCGGCTCTGGGTTTGTATGATAAACAGCTTCATTAGTCTCTGTTAGCAGAAACCCTCCGGTGCTTCAGCGATTGTTTCTCTCCTCCAGAGCTTCTCAAGTCTGTCTGAAGAGCCATTTGTGCATTCTGAAGAAAAATGAATCACTCTTTGACTGAATCCTCTTATGCTTGTCTTTGCAGTTTCTGACTGAAACAAACAACAGCATAAAAATCATCGGGTCTGTTCAAGTATAATCTTTGTTTGCTAAAACATCCACAACTGAGTCAATAGTTGCCATACAGTGAGAGTCTAGAGCTATAAAATGAATATGTTGAGCAGCTCAGATCAGAGGAGGTTCATGTGAGATTACTTGAGTCTTTTTGCTCTCCATTTAATCCCATTGCTGTCCAGGAGAAAGAATTAAGGCGTAAACTAGATGTTCTATGTTTTGTGAGCGTTTGTTTGTCTCTCTTTGGCAGAGACGTTTGTGAGTCTTTTTTCTGGCATAAGTCAGACGGCTGGCACTTTTTATGTTCATGATGCTCTGGTGAGTGTGTATATGTGTGTGTGTGTGTATATGTGTGCATATGTGTGTGTGGGTTTGTGAATATAATGACATCATCATCCTCATCTCTGGCGGCTCACAGACTGTGTGTTTTGTCAGTGCTATGTGTTGCTGGTTGGCAGACTGTCAGTCAGACACAGAGACATCAGACTGAGCCGGATCAGATCCACACGAACAAGAAAACAGACAGTGGAGATTCCTGGAGTAAAGACAGATCAGTGCATGCATGCTGAGTTGGAATGGATGATTGTTGATGGAGAACAGAATGGAGGGTCCAATGAAATCCATTTTATTTGATCCAAAATTCCGTTTGACTTGTTCCAAAATTTGAAATTTTCTGGGTCCTGTTTTAATAATTTAATTAAGTTTTAATTATCAAAAAGCATGTTTAATTAATTGAAATTATGGACAACAGTTTATTAACAAAGATACAATTTTACAGCGCAGTGAAATCCGTTCTCTTTTATTTCTCCTAAAATTGTTTTCCATTTTAATGGTTTAATTGAATTTTATTCATGCAAAAACATGTTTAATTAATTGAAATCATGAAACGTGTACAATTTAACTACCAATTTATTAAATGTTTAACAAAAATATGAATTTTAAGGCCATATGAAATCCGTTTTATTTTTTCCCAAATTCAGTTTTGTTTTGTTTGTTTGTTTTCAAAATTCCATGTTTCCTATTTACATTTTTCTGAATTAACCAAATTTCAATCATGACAACTCTCTGAACATTTTAGTATGGTGATGGATATGACAATGTTAATGTATTTGGGCTTGGCGGAACAGATCTGCTACACTGCTGCTGTTGGTTATTGCTGTAGTTGTAGATTATTGCTGCTGCTGCAAGCAAGTACAGGAACTTGCTACTGCCAATGCATACGGCGATACGGTGCCATGAGTATTTAAGACATGCTGCTGCTGCACAAATAGCATATAAAATAACCCCGTAGCAGATCTATACAGGTGGAGCTGGGGAAGGTGGAGGGACTCAGAGAAACTCTGAAAGGGCGCTGCAGGAATCTCTAGTGAATGCTAGCCAGCCATATAAATGCAAGGCACTAAGCTCATTGGCTGCATATGCAGCATGAACCAATCAGCTTGTGCCAAGTCATTTAACTCTCTGAATATCATCAGTTACGTTAACACCCCGTCAGAATGCGCCATCTAGAGTTTCATGACTGAACTATATATTTAATAACCAAAAAGAACGTCTAATCTATTAATTTTATAAAACTTAAACAACTTAATAATTTATTCAAATGCTAGTGCATTACTAGTGTTAACAATGCTAGTGTCCTATTGAATGTTTATTTATTTATTTTTTATTGTGTTGATTGTTTTATTTTTTCTGGGGTTTATGATTTAATACAAGCATATTAATCAAATGAATGCAAAAAAAATGATAAATTTAATTAATCTTTTGAAATGTAATCATCAGTTAAACCTATTTTTTTTTATTTTGGTACATCATAGGGCCGTATGTATGTTTGCATCTAAAAGGTGAAGTGGAACAACATATAATGGTAAAAAGTGTTTACTGTCGATTTTTTGGAATACATTGATGATGAATAACTATGCATGGATGAAAGACATACAAGTGCATCTCAA